AATATAAGTATCAATTGAGTTATTGATAACTCATAATGATTTTAAATTAGCATTTTTAGGTAGTTTTATGATAAAAAGAGAAGCCATTTATAAACAATGTCATCAAATGAGAGAAAAGTGTTTATATTAATAGCTGTTTTACTTTTTAATATACTTCAAATTTTATTCACAAGTGACTCTCTTTTGATTAATAGAGGAAGAATAACTTAAATTTAATTTTTTTCTCGGATTATTTGTTCCCAATTGATAATTCGACATATATCTTGCTTTTGTGAGGGCATTAGGTTAAGAAAATTTACAAGTATTTTTTATTGGATAATAAATTATATATACCATTAATGAATTATATATACCATTAAGACTTTGGAGGGAAGTGACTATATATATTAGCTTAGCATTCATTTTCTTATCATTTTATTTTATCATAATTAAATTTTCCTCAATCCTTTTGAAACCTTTATTAATGAATTCCTTAAAATTTCAAAGATACACATGACTTTCTCCAGGAGTTTCATGATGAATGGAGGCTAAAAAAAATGGTCGGGTGAACTTATGTCCTATATTTAACCAATAATAATATCTTGCAAAATTGCTTTTGCCAGCTTTATCAAGTTTGAAGTGATTTGTAAGGAAAAATTACGTAGCCATTATTTAAAAAAAAGTTCTAACCTTTCAATTTTTCCTTTCAAGCTTTGCTCTCCTATCAAATTTGTAAAAAGCCTTTTTGTACGTAGTTTAGGTGGCTGAATTTGGCAATAGATACTCAGTTAAAGGTGTCTAGATATTCTTTAAAGTTAATGATATGATACTGAAAGACTTAAAGTGGTATAACGAAAAAAAAAACCAAGACTAGTCCAACTTAGACTAACATGGAAGATCACCATAGGAAATGTGTTTTAAATAGTGCAAAATGCTAAAATTTATGGTCATTAACTATTTTAGGATGTTAGCATGTGATGTTGAGTAAGTCATAAAATTTAGTGGAGTTTAAGGAGTTGCTGAGGTTTAGAAAATAAGGCACTAATTTGGCCAAGAGCCTCAAAGGGAGGATTTTGGGTGGATGTATGATGTTGGTTGTTGGTTTGTAATTAGATGTGGAGGATGTTTATAAAGTCGATAAAGCAGTGTGGAGAGTTTAAATCAAGTTTAGAGAGGTGTACACAATAGCATTAAGAAAATAAAGATAATCACATATTCTCATTAAAAGAAAGGCTTAAACTTGAAGCCACCAAACACCAAATAAATGACAAGATTTTTTCTCAATAGATATTTGATTCCTAAGTAAAATATTATAATGCATATGCACCATTCCTCTTTATAGACTTTACAAGTCTCTTAAACTGCCTTAATTTCATACAAAAGATATAAATAAAATTTTAGAAGGTAAAGCAAGGGCCTGACAAAATTAAGAAGAAAATAATCTGTGAAAAATGTATATATATTTTTTTAAAATTCCATAAAAACTTTCATAATTGCCCATCTAAACTTTGCTCTAAGGTAAAAAAAAAAATAATAATAATAATTTAAATATTATATTAAAATAATTCTTTATGGAGATCTTAATTGCAAGGGCTGATTGAACTTTAACCCTTGCTCTTGTAATTGGACAGTGGGCTGATTTTATCATATGGCGAAGGCCATCCATTCAATCTTGAAAATAGAATCTACTATTCTATAAAAGTTACATTGTTCTCTTTTATGATTTTAGCTTCAAAAAGGGCTTCTATTCCGCATTAATGAGTGGGATCAAACATAATCAATCTTTCATGTTGATTAATACAAATGTATTAAGAGTAGCTCAGCATGATTTTCTTGTACTAATATGCAAAATGTTCTTCCTTACAATAATGATTTATCTAGGCATACCTCTAGATATACCCAGGTTTACTTATGAAGCACAAACTAAAAATTTCAAAAAAAAAAAATCCATTAGCTCAAAGCCTTCGTATAGGATTTACTACCAGGTAAAAATATCTCTTTTTTGGGAGGGCCGCTTAATGAATATAGTTTCCATTGAATGTATAGTGTAACTAGCTGATTTGAAAAAAATTAAACCTTGTGGTTTTCACAAATCCTCTTATTACTACAATTTGATTGATGCATTGTTCCTTGTTTTATTAGAAAAAACAAATTCATGAGCATAAAGATAGAAGGAGAGGTGAATATGATCGTAGATATGCAACACAAATCGGTCAATTTTCGACAAGGAAAGGTTTGCGACATAAAAAAGAGCAAGGACAATGCAAATCATGCATTTGTTATTTGCACAATTGCATAAGGATTTGAAGGTAAAACTTCCGTGGGTTTAATACATAGCTATGTAGGACAATTTCTTAAATCTAAGAACAACACTGCCAACCACAGACCATCCTTTGTTCCACTACTATGAATGTTATTAAGGGTTGTTTACTTTAACACCTCCTATCTAAATGTTCATGAATCATAGCAAACCAACTAACCAAAACAATCTAGAACAATTCCAATTAAATTTCATTGTATATTATTTATGCATCATTGATTAGGAATTTTAAATTGATACATATAGCACTACAAAAATTACGTTTATGTTAAACAAATTTATCAATCCACTCGTTCTACCAAACATAATGATCAGCATTAAAAAGCCAAAAAATCACTAATACATACTGTCATATTTGCCACATCCTATTTCATATCACTATGGTTTAATTTTATAATCAAGCTTTATGGTTCAACTAGCAACAAAAAAATTGATAAAGAAAACTCGATATGAATCTGATCTCATAAAAGCAAAATTACCAATTGTAAGCATTCAGAGGTTGAATCAAAATCATTAAGAACTATAGTTCTAGTCGACGGCAATCATACCTCCTTCATAAAACTCAAGTACTTGTTTTTAATTTAAGTATTGCAAACTCGAATAATAGTATACTTGTTATGTAAAAAACAATTTTTTTTCAAATAACAATATCATTTATAAAATAAATGTATGGATTCAATATTAATTATCTTAATTCGATTCTATAAATAATAGAGTTATGATAATAATTTGTTGTTTATTTTTGCCATTAGAAGTCGCCAAGTCTGATCATCTTGTTCTCTTCAAACTAAGAATTGACTATTATTTCTCAAAAAATCACAGTACCAGTTTTAAGTTACTTGCCACATTTTTTTAAATAAAGCGACTAAAGATTTCATTTTTATTTTGGTCACCTTCTTAAATTTTTAAATTTTAAGAAAATTTCAAAGAAAATTTCAAGAAAATTTCAGTAAAAGAAAGTTTTTTTTTTTTTTTTAAATTCTACAATTTAGTTTTTAACATCACCTTTTCGAAGAGTGACTATTGATGGCGACTGAAAGTATATGACTAAAATGACAACACATGCAGTTCACCATTTTACAAGACATCATTTCAAGAAAAAAGAGAGACTGTAATTTAAAAAAAAAAATGTGTTATTAAAAAATAATACTTTCAGTGAACCAAACTATGCACTATCAGGTCCAAACCAAAGGAAAAAGCTTTATAAAATGAATTTTCTATAACAAGAAATAATTGTAGAAAGATGTGGTTTCAAATCCCATATAAATGTACAGCACTAGTTAGGTAGAGCAGTATTGAAGCTTTAAAAAATAAAGACAAGCAATCACAATTCCAATATATTCTTCTCTCAAATTCCAAGCTTTCAAACAAAAATGATCATTTCATCCACCACTACAAGACAGATGCTCATCATATCCAGCATTTATGACATGTAAACTAAAATTATATTTCACGGAATCTTCATTTACTCCAACAGGTAAATATATAGATTTATAGCAATTGCAGTAAATATATAGATTTACAAAAATGATAAGCAAAGGCAGTTCATTAGTTTGACTTAGTAAGAGCTCGATATATTTATCGTGCAAAGTTCATGTACTTCTGTTAAGCCCATGAAATATACTACAAAACTAAGGAAAAGCTTAAAAATCATAATGAAATATAGATATTTACAAACTTTCTTTCCTACAATTGGATCAGCTTGGCAATAAACTAGCCAAAAAAATAGCAAGTTTTTATGCTTTAAATTTGCTCAAGGAAATAATGAAGAGTTAATCAAAAGAAAATGTTTGAAAACAGACCCTATATATCACTAGGTGCATTAAGGCCAGCAACCACAAGTTGGAAACTGAAGTCAGGGAGAGAGACATTACAGGCCCGATTAGAACAGAATCCGATGTTGTTATCACTGCACTGTGTGCTCCATTCAGAAAGTAGAAAGACAAGAAAAGAAGGAAAAAAAGGATGAGAGGAATCAATGAAAGATTACTTTCAAAAACTGGGAGATAATTATTCCCATTGAAACCCTAAACCCCTAAAGAAAACATGTCAGAAGCTCAGAACCTAAAAAGCTAACTCCATTGTCTTATAGCGCGTCCACGTGTCCCTCCTCCTGTGCTCTCCTTCTCCAAGATAATGGCATGCTATCCCCATCATGCAGATAAATGCTTGTTTGTCAAATGCCCAGCGCTAATCACATTAATATTGTGAATCTCGATATCTGATATATTGAATATCTTTTTAACTATATATATATAATCAAACTATTCAAAAAAAAAAAATGAATGTTATGAAATTTTGGTTATTTATGAATATAATAATGAAGATTTCAACAATTTATTTGATACAGAAGAAGATTTTCCGGACAAAGACTTGCGGGAAAGACGGGAGACCTTCTTCTCCACACTGATATTATAGCCTGACACACAAGGCCCGTACGCCTATTGTGTTTTGGCCCATCTTCCAAACTGAAACCCTAACTCCTCCTGCCTCTTTTCTAATAGCAGAAAAAAAAAAAAAAACTCCACTGTTGCACTTTATAAAACCAATGTGGGAAGAAATTAAACACTAGCGCGCCACATATTGATTCAGAGACTTTAATAGCTTTGCCTTCTCACGTGCAGAATCATATCCAAGTATGCGTAGAATAGAGATACAGATAGGAAAAATAAAAAGAAAAGTATGAATGAGTTATCATTACCAGTAGAGAAGTGGAAGCTCATGGAGCTGAGATCAGTAATAGAGCTGAGTTGAGACTCCGCCTTTCGAAGAAAATCAGCTGCTTCTTCAAACGGCTTCGACAGCTCTTCCTTATACTTCACCAGAATATCATAGTATGCTTCCTTTCGAGAAATCAACCATAAATTAATAAAAAAAAAACAGTTTTTAAGGAAAAAGATATTAATTTCCAGGCAATTAAACGAATTTATGAATCAAAATCATTCTTTTAAGAAAGAATTGGAGAGGGAAATTAAATGAGCTCATGAATCATCACCATGAACTGGTCGAGCTCAGGGTCGGCGGTGGGGAAATTTCGGCCGCCGCCGGACCGTAACTGGAGATCTTCGGTGACGGCGGAGAGACGCGCCGCCACTTCCGGCGGAGCGCCGAGCTTGTGGCAGTCAGCGTAGGCGGCTACGAGGTTGGGATAGTGAGGATGAGCCATGATTCTAGCTTTCACTTCCGGCAGTGAAGGGGGCGGAGGTAAACTCGCTCCAGCGAAGGCTGCCTTGTTTTTTATGAGATGAGATGATGATGACGACGATGGCTGAGTAGTGATAATTGATGGGAACTCAAAATCGTCCATTTAAAATAAAAATATGAGAATTGGGGAAGAAGAGGAGGAGAGGTTGGAGATAGGGAGAGAAATTGACCAGAGAAAGGAAGAGGAGGGGAAGAGAGAGAAAAGGTGTGGATGTCAAATCATGTAGAGGGTACGATTATATGTAAAATCTGTGTTTGTTTAGGACCTTTATAGTTTTTTTTTTCTTTATCTGATAATCTTTGTGGTTGTTTCTAAAACGGTTGTATTAACAATATTTTTTTGGTGTTTAAATACATACTCAACTCTCTTGTAATTAAATATTTAATTATGTAAATTTTAATTTTAATTTTAATTTTTAGAGGACGTTAATCTCTCGACAAGCAATTAAAAATACAATCATTTTAATTTTTAAATAATAAATAAATAAAATTAAAATTAAATTTTGAAGAGAAAATAAAAAAATACATAAAATTTGAGTAAATCTTTCATTTTCCGATTATTATAATTTAGCGTATTTAATTATATAAATCAATAAAAGTTATAACTAATTAAAAATACACTGCAAATTGTAAGATAAAAATGTTAAGAAAATTATCTTATCTCGTAACTCTGAAAAAAATAGAATTTTCAAGGAAAATTTATTTAAAATATTTTGATCAAATTTCAATAATAATTAGGTTTAAGCATCTTAATATTTAAAAAAAATAAACTAAATAAATAATCATTTATGTATATATTATATTAAAATTAATTAATAACGTTTAGAAGATTATCACGAATATAATGATTTGTTTTTTCAATAGCTTTTTTAACGTTAATCATATTTTAATACATCAAATTTTGTTTTCTAAATTATTTATTAAGCACAGGTAAATAAAAAAGTGATTTAAAAAAGAATATTATAGGACGTTTAAAAACGCGATGGGAGAGGGCACTCTTTAAGATAAGGAAGAGAGCGATTTAATTTTGATTAGCTGTCTCTGTACGGGAATATTGTTCTTAATTTACTGCACTAAGTACGATCCCATTAGATTAAGGTTTTATTTAATAACATTATACTGTTTGATAGTGCGGTGGGAATAATTATAAAAAAACAAAACAAAACAAAAACAAAAAAGAAAGAAAAAGGAAAAGGAGAGGGAAGACGTTAAGCGCGTTTTGCTTTGCAATAATAGTTATCACCTAATTAGCTTTGACAAAAAAATTTATAGTTTTGAGATTATTTGAAATAAATGTAAAGTAAATTAAATTTAGTTTGCTTTATAGATTAATTAACATTTGAGTTAGATTATTCATTAAAAAATGCATAAATATGCAACCTTGAGTGATATACATATAATAAATTTAATTTTAGTTTAAGCTCTTAAGTAAAAGTTAAAAAGATATTAAATTATATCAAATGACAAAAGCCAAACAAAGAGAAGAAGTTGAGAAAAAAATTAAGAGTATGAAAATTAAGTTAAAGAAAAAGTGAGAATAAGGATGTTAGTATCATAATTTATCCCCTACTCTGAATTATCATGCGAAGAGAAAAAAATATATTCAAAGACATATATGTAACAGGGGAGATGCATGTGTCATGCATAATGTAATGAATATTCATTATAGCAATAGTTGGTAGGTTAGGCAATGAGGGAAAAGAGGATTCATTGTTGACATGAACTAGGCCAATGAAATGATTAGTATGAGGCAATGTAATTGATTCTTTGAATAGAAAATTGTTTGTAGTTTAATGTTGCATTTTCAAATAACTTAATTATTTCTCACATGCACTGAGGTTGAATATGGCAAGATAGATGGCATCAAAATTACATTCAAATAAAATTATAAACAACCGATGTTAAAAATTTTCACATAAGTATATTTTACGTCAGTAAAGCAAATTTTTTTTAAAAAAACTGATATTTATGAAAAATAACGGAGAATAATTGTTGGTGAAATTTTGGCAGCTAGAAGTAAACTTTTCGAGTCATTGAATCATTTAGTACCCACAAACTAAAGAATAAATAAGTGTTTTTGTCACAGAAAAATTATTCATCCTAATCAAAGTTATCATATTGTTTGAAATCATGGTCAATTTATTTTATAAAACACAAAAGAGTTTTACTTCTTTTAGTTATGAAAATGATTTGAAAGCACCCCCCCCCCCCCCCCCCACTTAGTTATGCCTATTTGATATTCTTATGAATTTCAAGTTGTGAAAATAAAAAAATTATATCCAAAACTTAATTAGAGACACATATATTATATGAGTGCCTTAAAGGAATTGAAATATAATTTGAATCAAGGGAGTGGACCTTAAGGAGACCATTGTTTCAATTAATGTGTGGATCCAATAAGAATTGAAAAGGGAGGGCTTGGTGGAGGAAAGGATATTTTTTCATAATAAATTTTTTATTAGAAACATATGCACTTTCACTTATAGAGAAGTAATAAATATAATGATAGGTTGAATTTTAAAAATCTAATCTACGATAACTTATAAATGATAGAAAAATGACTTCCACGTGATTTATTTGCAAAGGAGAATGTGTATTAGCACTTTTATGAATTTGAAATCTCTCAAATATGATCACAAAACAATGGGCTTATCTCCAATAGGGTTTTTTTTTTTTTTACTTTTTTTGGAAAAGTACACATTAACACAAATTTTAAGAATTTTTCAAAAATGATTTCATGTTAGTTCTCATTTTACTAGCTCATCAAGATAAAATTTTTAAATTTTCATCAAAAGACTAACTCAACTAAATTTTAAGTAATAAAATGTTAAAGGAAAAGGTTAAAGCTAAATAAATTCAGGCAATGTGGTTTGTAAAATGAAAACTCAAGCAAGTACATGGATTAATTTTTTTTACAAAAAGACATCTTATCCATATTAGATAAAATATAGTGATGGCAACCTTGGATATGCTTATGCATCTAAAAGTAGTTCCAAAATAATTGATAAATCAAATAAACAATAAGGTGAGATCATTACATTTAGTACAATCAAATTGGGGTACCAATTGAAATTCCACAATATAAATCATTAACATGTAACCTCTACTTAAAATTAGCATAATAATCATCCCCATAATAAATTATAACAAAAATATATTTGGGATTTAAAATTCTACATAAAATTGAATAACCAAATAAATAAAGTAACTGAGAAAATTGATACGATGCAACAAAATAGAAGTTTGCATTTACGGCGTTTGGAGAAATTGGAGTTTTGTTTGTTTAAAATTTTGATTCAAGATAAAGATTTTTAATATCAATTTACACTCATTAAAATGTGCACTTTTTATTATTTAAGATTTTGACCCAATAATTAGTCGAACGAACAAAAGTTGACAAGGGTTTTGGACTGAGCCGATCGAGTGAGAAAGAGATCGAGCAAGGTATTATATGGAGAAGAATAAATTAATTACATGTCGTGTGATCACGTTCATTTTCATTCACTAATGCTCAATTGGTTATTTCAGCAATTATTTAATTACAGGTGCTAAATATTTATTTTAACACATAAGTATTTACAAGATATTGTACAGAGAAGAATAAATTAATAAACATCATTTGACTATTTCTCAAGGTAAATACATTTAAATTGGCTTAACATAAATTCTGAGTTTAATTCTCTCTTAACTAGTTCTTGAAAATTAATATTGAATTGAATTCTTTTATAAGGTTGTGAAACTTACCTGTTTGTTAATGAAGTCTAAGAAAGCTGTATATATAGACAACAGAGAGGCTACTTGGCAGCCCAGTACTTGACAAGAAAGCAGCATTTGTTTTACTTTTCATGTTTAAAAGAATTTTGCGTGCTGTCACTTCAACTAGAATTTAGAATTTAGATCCTTGTTATTAATTAGTCATGTGTTAGGATAGCCAAAAAATGTATAATCCAGAATTTTGAAGTATTTAAAATTTAATTTTAAATATTTTTGTATATTTAGAATTTATTGAATTTGAATTGAATTTCAAATGCATCGTGAGAGTGAAACTTCAGTATTGAAAATACTAAATGTTTTCATACTTTTGAAATTTCATAACATGGCACTTCTATGTAAAATTAGTACAGGCATGATTATTCGTCCACAACTTCAAATAGTAAAGTAATTCTATGAAAATGAAAAGAGTTTGGAAATAAGGGCATTTTTTATTTCTTTTTTACATATTTACGAGCACTAATAATATTTCACTCAATTTTGTTAGCCACTTTTGTGATTCATCATAGTGTACATCTAAATATATTTTGGAATAGGGCTGTCAAAGCGGCTCGTTGTTCGTGAACAACTCGTGTTTGGCTCGTTTTGACTGGAAATACTACTAATCAATTTTATATCTTTGATGAGTAGTATTTTTAAAAATTTTAATTGACTACAAGGCTTCAAAGATTTATAATCAATTAAAAGTATTAATTAAGAAAGCAGAATATAAATTATTAAATTAGATTCAAATGATGTTTTAAAGCTTGTCCCAATCCTTAGCATCTTATGGCTACGTGATTAGAGTTGTCAAAACGATTCTTTGTTCGTGAACTGCTTGTGTTCAGCTCGCTAAGCAAACAAGCCGAACACGAACACACTTTTAGAGGTCGAAATATAAACGAGCCGAAAATGAGCTGAGCCTGAGGCTCGCTCGTGTTCGGCTCGTTTACACCCCTAATTTGAAAGAATCATGGATAAAATATATAAAATATCTGCGCACATCAAATGATGTCATCTTTGTTGAGCTCCAAATATTTGCGTGAACGTACCCTAAAATACCCTTAACATAGCAGATGATAGTACCTAAGGATACCCATATCTTCTTACTAAACACATAATATTCACATAAATCAAGCTTGCAGGTGATCGCTCTTTTGATCAATTCGTATTGCATGTATGAGCTAGCAGCATATGTCATAATGTAATGAATAAAAAAACACAGTCATTCCAGTCACCATACTACCTTGAAATAGTAAAAGTTGTGATAACAAACTCCTTTCATGAAAGTTTGTGCTCCATGACAAATCCTCAAAACTCCTGTCTTAATAACTATCTTATAGCCTTGGCCTTTAAGGCCCTAACTAACATCAAATTCCTCCGTACATTCAAAGCATGTTTAACATTAGTTAGCTCCATCAAAGTATTATCACATATTCTGATAATGACGTTGCAAACACCAATAATACAATA